TCCGCCACGAATCATAGGATCTTGACCCGACATTTGACAGATTTAAATCGGGAACGGTCCTATCAAGGATAGCAGTAAAAATCCTGAATGTGTGACTGAGCCCTTAGAAATGGTCCTATCAAGGACAGCAGTAAAAATCCTGAATGTGTGACTGAACCCTTAGGAATGGTCCTATCAAAGACGGCAGTAAAAATCCTGAATGTGTGACTGAGCCCTTAGGAATTGTCCTATCAAGGACAGCAGTAAAAATCCTGAATGTGTGACTGAACCCTTAGGAATGGTCCTATCAAGGACAGCAGTAAAAATCATGAATGTGTGACTGAACCCTTAGGAATGGTCCTATCAAGGACAGCAGTATAAATCCTGAGTATGTGACTGAACCCTTAGGAATGGTCCTATCAAGGACAGCAGTAAAAATCCTGAATGTGTGACTGAACCCTTAGGAATTGTCCTATCAAGGACAGCAGTAAAAATCCTAAATGTGTGACTGAACCCTTAGGAATGGTCCTATCAAGGACAGCAGTATAAATCCTGAATATGTGACTGAACCCTTAGGAATTGTCCTATCAAGGACAGCAGTAAAAATCATGAATGTGTGACTGAACCCTTAGGAATGGTCCTATCAAGGACAGCAGTAAAAATCCTGAATGTGTGACTGAGCCCTTAGGAATGGTCCTATCAAGGACAGCAGTATAAATCCTGAATGTGTGAATGAGCCCTCAGGAATGGTCCTATCAAGGACAGCAGTAAAAATCCTGAATGTGTGACTGAACCCTTAGGAATTGTCCTATCAAGGACAGCAGTATAAATCCTAAATGTGTGACTGAACCCTTAGGAATGGTCCTATCAAAGACGGCAGTAAAAATCCTGAATGTGTGACTGAGCCCTTAGGAATGGTCCTATCAAAGACGGCAGTAAAAATCCTGAATGTGTGACAGAGCCCTTAGTTTAAGTATTTTAGATGATGCCAAGCTAATTCATCACTGACAACATACTACGGTCCAGTTACCGATAAATCACACATACTGATTATGTCAATTAAGCTAAAAGTACATGTCTCAGGATATTGGGAATGGCTGTCCCTCGATTGTCTCCTGGCTTAATTGAAAGCAGCACTAAAAAAACAAAGATGTCTTTGATTGTTTCATGGTTTTTTTTCATCAAGTGGAGTTTTCCGCATAAACATGGTGAAATACACAGTCACATTATTTAATGATTTAAAACCAACCATAAAACTGACGTAGGGACGCCACTGGACGCGGAGACAACAATCAAGTAAAGCTGAAGGAGATGCGTCAGACATGAAATCGATCACAGGTCAAAATGTCTGCAATAATGTTTAACATCCGTGGTAAATATTTATGAACGCCCAAACGTGCCTTGACACACATTTAACACAGAATATCATTTATATTAAGAATTTGTTTTATTTACCTCTGTGTTATATTGTGCATGTTTTGTATGATTGCATAAATTGTTCCTATGGCTTTATGGCTGAAATATTGCCGATATGATGTTTATTAAGTCACTGTCAGAAACACAAACACGGCCATTAAGAGAACTAAGAACCAAAACTACATACAATATATCAATAACCAACACGGCCGGTTATGTAAGCTTAATAAGAGAACTTTGAAATAAATGCACGAAAGATCTTCAACACGACAAACAGTTGTTCCAATTAATTATGTGAAATACAATTCATTTATGTTTTCCGCATATACAGAGTTGACGACGTCTGTGAGTGAATACATGTTTAACGCTATCGCCACACTAGTCAAACACAGCAAGCGAAATACCCGTTGTAACCTACATATACTTCATGTTATCACACACATGTCCATATCTCATACAGATCTTGTGATGCTCCAAACGGAAACCAAGTAGTGCGCATGTGTATGACCGGAGTTCAGTATACGCCCCACTCCTGTAGACAGTCAAAGGTTCAAGTTTGTATAACACAGAAGGTGAGGACAATTTATGCTGGAGTAACATCACTAGGTGAGTGGCGTGTTGTTGTTGAAGGCCACACTTAGGTGCTATTCCAGCTTTATGCTTGTATGCTTGTTTGTTTTTTTGTTTAGCGACATCCCCGGCACTATTCCAGCAGTAGGTTTGTTTGTTGTTTAACAACTACCTACTGACAGACCACGTGTAATAACTGGGACAACGAGCAGGCTCTGTAGCTGACAGACCACGTGTAATAACTGGGACAACGAGCAGGGTAATAACTGTGGCAACAAGCTGGCTATGTAGCTGACAGACCACGGGTAATAACTGGGACAACGAGCAGGGTATGTAGCTGACAGACAACGTTTAATAATAACTTGGGCAACAAGCTGGCTATGTAGCTGACAGACCACGTGTGATAACTGGGACAACGAGCAGGATAATAACTTGGGCAACAAGCAGGCTATGTAGCTGACAGACCGCGGGTAATAACTGGGACAACGAGCAGGGTATGTAGCTGACAGACCACGGGTAATAACTTGGACAACGAGCAGGGTATGTAGCTGACAGACCACGGGTAATAACTGGGACAACGAGCAGGGTAATAACTGGGACAACAAGCTGGCTATGTAGCTGACAGACCACGTGTGATAACTGGGACAACGAGCAGGATAATAACTTGGGCAACAAGCAGGCTATGTAGCTGACAGACCACGGGTAATAACTGGGACAACGAGCAGGGTATGTAGCTAACAGACCACGGGTAATAACTGGGTCAGCAGGGTATGTAGCTGACAGACCACGGGTAATAACTGGGTCAGCGAGCAGGCTATGTAGCTGACAGACCACGGGTAATAACTGAGACAACGAGCAGGGTATGTAGCTGACAGACCACGGGTAATAACTGGGACAACGAGCAGGGTATGTAGCTGACAGACCACGGGTAATAACTGGGTCAGCGAGCAGGCTATGTAGCTGACAGACCACGGGTAATAACTGGGACAGCGAGCAGGGTATGTAGCTGACAGACCACGGGTAATAACTGGGTCAGCGAGCAGGGTATGTAGCTGACAGACCACGGGTAATAACTGGGACAACGAGCAGGGTATGTAGCTGACAGACCACGGGTAATAACTGGGACAACGAGCAGGCTATGTAGCTGACAGACCACGGGTAATAACTGGGACAACGAGCAGGCTATGTAGCTGACAGACCACGGGTAATAACTGGGACAACGAGCAGGGTATGTAGCTGACAGACCACGGGTAATAACTGGGACAACGAGCAGGCTATGTAGCTGACAGACCACGGGTAATAACTGGGACAACGAGCAGGGTATGTAGCTGACAGACCACGGGTAATAACTGGGACAACGAGCTGGGTATGTAGCTGACAGACCACGTGTAATAACTGGGACAACGAGCTGGGTATGTAGCTGACAGACCACGTGTAATAACTGGGACAACGAGCAGGCTATGTAGCTGACAGACCACGTGTAATAACTGGGACAACGAGCACGGTATTTAGCTGACTGACCTAGGACTGAACGTGTTCGCCTTACCCGCTGTGATATTCCACATTACACCGGAATTTGATCATAGATATGCCAAGATTTAAAGTCAATAATTGTTCCTCGACTCGTCATCAGTCAGTAGTTGGGAGTTGTACTTTCTTTCCTGGAACACTGATTTTGATTACCTACACTGATTATCAAAACAAAAGCAGATAGATGAAAAGAGAGACATCATATATTCTAATTATACAGTTCTTAAGTTAACTTGTTCTCCTAACTCGGTGGATATTGCACCACCTTCCCCTGACACTAGCGATATGAAGCTGTTTATCAACTGTCTCGGACAGCCACACGTTTATCGGTCTGTAAGAGGCCTCACTGTGCTGATATGTGACCACTTGTATCAACGACACCCCACATGGTTTGATCGAAGTCCGATGTTTATATCTGACCTACTTGTCTATCGTATGAGACACACATCATGTTAATTTGTCATAACGGATGGTTCTAATGAAAGTAGCTCCTGCGCATGTGCAGATAAGGCGTAGGTCTCTGTCATGTGTGTAGACGTCTCCTGTATAGCCCTCTCTACTGTCATTTCTCGTGAAGTAAGAACGTTTATCAACCTGATGATAATTACTTGTCTTTGTGAAGGGATTAAACAACGTTTGTTTTTTGTAGCATCATTACTTTTTGAATAGTGATTTAAAAGGTTGATATGAATCTCGAGTGACATCCTGCTATGTGTCTCTGTGTTTGGATTTACATGATTTCTTTAGATGTTTTTGTAAAATTTAATAAATAGGATTGACTCTGTGTCTGTTTTTCTGTTAACTGAAGTATGAATCAAATAATCGATGTGAAGATATTTGTAAGAATCTGCTATGGATTCATACAGTTAGCACACAAGTATTTCTATTCATTCCTCAAAGACTTGAAACAAATATGCTGTCAATCCTTAAGTACTTTAGTATGAAAATAATGTTTTATGGATAGATCATACATTGTCTGTCAGAAACTACCACACTCATACCTTGTAAATATAACATACTGTAGTATTGCCGTTTTCTGGTAAATTAAACAATTAAAAACAAACCTTTTAAAAAACACAATGACGTATTCTGCAAGAGAATGTTCTTGTGAGATAACGTGAACTGGAGCGAATATGTTGCAGGTAAATTGTGAGTGAGTGAGTGAGTGAGTGAGTATGGTTGTATGCCACTTTATGCAACATTCCGGATATATCAAGGCAGGGGACACCAAATAATACCTTCACACCTTGGAATCGTTCTGTACGGTGGTAACAAAGGACACAGTTAATGATCTGTCCATGAAACAAAATTTTCACAAAGTGGTCTTTTGGGTATTTTACACCACAAGCGGAAACTGTTTAAAAAGGGCTCTTCTCCGACTTAAGTTACGCCAGTGAGACCGGTATCTGTGGTATTACAGAATATTAGTAAACATGTTAATTCGTCAGTCATTTTGCTTTTTTTTACAAAAACGTTGTTTTTTATCACCCAAGAAGGAACTAAGTTAATCACGGAAGGCTCTCCAGGAGGGAGGATGGAACCATTGCAAGACCAAGACCAAACTGATCGTGATGTTGGTCTACTTCTGACAGAAGTTTTAGACGAAATAGATAGAGGCCCACAACAGGGGCGACACCCCACTTCTACATCTTCCACACAACACAACTATTGTAAGTTCTTGTTTGTCATGACACAACAGGTTTAAAAACAAGTTATTAATCATCTTTTTGATTGTGTGCGTACAACAGTGTGCGTTGTATTGTAATCTCCATGATAGTAAACTCTGTACTTGTGACATGGCACATCTAAATAAACTACATTTTCGTGTGTAGTTTTAGGGCAACTGAAAATTAAAAGTAATATTTGTAGGAATATGACTTTCTGAACGTGCTATTATTACATTTGCATTTGCTCTCATATATCCAACAATGTCAGCTGTGTTTGTAACCGGGAAGGAATGGTTTCTGTGTTCCAGATCAGTGTCCAGTGTCCCAGACTAACATCTCTAATGCCTCTAATGTTTCTGTTGGGGATCTGGCACACAGGGGTTGTCTCTCACAGGGTAAGAACGTTAGTACTCTCAATGATAACTGCAGAAGTAGTGTGCACTGGCAATAAGTACTATATATTTGTAATGTATCATTTTTCTTCTTCTACAAACACTTGTTATCACAGTGTCATATCAAGAATGTTTGTACGCTATCGCAGGCTTCCTGGTGTTTGATATCAGTACTGCAAGTCGCTTTTCTTTTCTTGATGAGATGGTTTTTAATACTCTTTCTTCACAGAATATGTATGGTTTGATACATGAATTTTCACTTATCGTAAGGCAAACAGTAGCACTGTGACTCTTCAGAATGATTTTACAAAAAGATCTCTGTTCACTGCAAAGAGGTTACCAATCAGAACAAAGAGTTTTTCATTCACAAGTCTCTTTCAAATGTACACAAAAAGGATGCAAAACAATACGTATGCATGAAATGTATGGAATCTAAAGATATATGTTCATTTAAGACCTGTCTACTCCCGTTAGTAAGTGAGAGAGAGTAGTAAATATACACTGCTTTAAACATTTAAATAAGTTATACCACACGTCAGCTTTATTTAGGACACACGTCCATAGAGATGTAAATCTTAGAAGTTTACACCTTTTGTGAAACCCACGAGCAAGACACGTTCTTCTTTATTTCTTCATTTGATTCCTCATAAGTAGAATAGAATTACAGACAGCATGATACAAAATTGTGAGAAAGAGGGAAGTTTAATTAAATCCGCCACTTTCTTTTCAGAAAACCTCACAACAAGGATAGACAATCTGAAAAAGGAATTTATTCACGTCCATGCTCTAGAAGTGGCAGAGGAGTTGCTGAAAAAGAACAGACATATTGCCATCAACGGAGCTCCAGGGGATGGGAAAACCAGCATCGCTTTAATGCTTTGTGATACATATCTAAAGAAAAGTCATAGCGTATTGTTCGTAGAAAACGTTGACCACTTTGATGTTAACCTGATCATCAAAAGGAACAATGATATGCTTGTTGTCTTTGACGACATGTTTGGTTCTGTTACATTACCGTCAAGTTTAGAAGCTATCCACAAAGTGTTCAGCGCCCTGGTTGAATCTCTGTGTGTCTTGAGTGTGTCACAACCAGATAAAATTACTTCAGGACAGACATTCAAGCTTCACTTTCTTTTCACATCACGAACCAACAACTGGAATGAGGGATGTTCAAGACTGCATCAGTTCAAAGGCAGCCTCTTCAGTTCACAAGTTGTCGTTGATTTGACAAAAACAGGCCTTTCAGAAAAAGAAAAGGAATCCATTCTCACATCCTTCATGAGGGGAAATTCACATTTCGACATTTCTCAGGAGGATATGAAAGCTATTACACAGATACAAAACAGCATGTTTGGATTCCCATTGACCTGTAGACTGTACGTCCAGAACACAGTCTTCCACATGAAGACTCGAGACTTTTTCCAGCACCCTGTGACCTACTTGAGAGGCGACCTTGACAACATTGTCAGAGAACAGAGTAGCAGATCATTTGCTCTTATTCTTCTCATCCTGTGTGGTGGGAAACTGGACCTTGTTTCCTTTCAACTAGGAACTAGAGGAGCCTACACCGCCCTGTTTCATGCTGTACAGGAGGTGGTGCCATTGTGTACTCCAACGGACATTGGTAACGAAATCAGAAATTTCATTGGCTCCTACTGTAGAGTGGAGAATAATGTAGCTTCCTTCTCACATCCATCCATCTATGATGCGGCAGCATGTGCCCTTGGTAATATCAACCCTGTGTTGTTGTTAAAGCATTGTTCTATGAAGTTTTTGTATGAAAGAGTAAGACAGGGTAAGAACGATCAACAACTGTCAACAGACACCAATGATGTCACAAATATGATCTACATCACGTCTCGACTATTCCCAATAGTAGTGAACAGGCTGGTGGAAGGCATACAACAAGGATGTTTCAGATGGACACTCACCTATCCTCTTTTGAGGGATGCCCGATTTGCCTCCTTACTTCAACAAGAACTGGCTGATCACTTGCAACACATAGTTACAAAGAAGGACAATGATTCTGGAGAATGTTTCTTTTATTATGTGTCACTGTCAGATAATGATATTCTTTTTACCAAGTCATTGGAAATACTTGGTAGAAGGGAAAACATCCAAGTTCTTTCAGTGGAGAATAGAAACTACCTCTATGATGGTTTATTTGCCTGTGTGCTATGGTATAAGCTCAGACACCTTCAAGATATTATAAATATGCTTCAGGAAGGTCATAGGTTCGATGTCAACTGGAGAAAGGGAGATAGAACCCTGCTGATGTTTGCTGCAGAGTCAGGGCATTTGGATGTGTTCAACGTATTGTTAAACTTGAAAGCAGACGTTTTACTTACTGACAAGAATGGATATACTTGTCTTCACCACGCTTGTAAATCAGGGAGCAAAGATGTCAGTATAGCTATTGTAAAGCTTTGTCCTGATTTGATGAATGTATTTGCCGAGAAAGGCCTGACAGCTGCTATGTTGTGTTGTTTGTCAGGTCAGAATGAAGTTCTGAAAGAACTTGTGCGGCTAGGAGCAAATCTCAGTCTCACCGACAACAAAGGTAGAAACTGTCTTCATTTGGTTTGTGAAAGTGGACCCCCATCTACAGTGAAATATTTGATGTCTCTGAAAACAACTGATATCAATACTAAAGGATGGCTCGGGCAGACACCGGCGATGATTGCAGCACTAAATGGGCATTTTGATGTCTATAACCTGCTTGTATCAGAGGGTGCTGATCTGTCACATACTGATGGTAACAACAATGATTGTCTGATGTTGGCATGCATGGGAGGCAGCATGCCTATTGTGAAACACCTCTTGCCCTTGAAACTGTTTGACATCAATAAGAGAGAAGGGTTAAACAAGACAGTTTTGTTGGCAGCAGAGAGAGGACACTCAGATGTTTATAATCTTCTTGTGTCAGAGGGGGCTGATCTGTCGCTCACTGATGATTACAAACATGATTGTCTGATGTTGGCTTGTATGGGAGGTAGCATGCCTATAGTGAAACACCTCTTGTCCTTGAAAACATTTGACATCAATGCAAGACAATGGTGCAACAAGACACCAGTTATGTTGGCAGCTCAGAGAGGACATGTAGATGTTTATAATCTTCTTGTATCAGAGGGTGCTGATTTTATGAACAAAGATTGTTTGATGTTGGCATGTGAGGGAGGTAGCATGCCTATTGTGAAACACCTCTTGTCCTTGAAAACATTTGACATCAATAGGAAAGGAAAATTTACCAAGACACCAGTTATGTTGGCAGCAATGAGAGGACATTTAGATTTATATAATCTTCTTGTATCAGAGGGGGCTGATCTGTCACTTACTGATAAGGAGACCAATGATTGTCTGAAGTTGGCTTGTGAGAGAGGTAGCCTACCTATTGTGAAACACCTCTTGTCCTTGAAAACATTTGACATCAATAGGACAGGCTGGTTCAATCAGACACCAGTTATGTCGGCAGCATACAGTGGACATTTAGATGTATATAATCTTCTTGTATCAGAGGGGGCTAATCTGCAACTTACTGATGCGCTGGGCAAAGATTGTCTGATGTTGGCATGTGTAGGGGGTAGCATGCCTATTGTGAAACACCTCTTGTCCTTGAAAACGTTTGACATCAATAGGAGAGGAAGGTCTAACCAGACACCAGTTATGTTGGCAGCAGAGATGGGACATGTTGACGTAAGCAACCTTCTTGTATCAGAGGGGGCTGATCTGTCACTTACTGATGATTACAACAATGATTGTCTGATGTTTGCTTGTGAGGGCGGTAACATGCCTCTTGTGAAATACCTATTATCCTTGAAAACATTTGACATCAATAGGAGAGGAAGGTCTAACCAGACACCAGTTATGTTGGCAGCAGAGAAAGGACATGTTGATGTAAGCAATCTTCTTGTATCAGAGGGTGCTGATCTGTCACTTACTGATGATAACAACAATGATTGTCTGATGTTGGCATGTAAGAGAGGGAACATGCTTATTGTGAAACACCTGTTGTCCTTGAAAACATTTGACATCAACAGGAGGGGATGGTTAAGAAAGACACCGGTTATATTTGCAGCAGAGATGGGACATGTTGATGTTCGTGATCTTCTTGTATCAGAGGGTGCAGATCTGACACTTACTGCAATACATATCCCCCATGAGTACTCTGTATAACTAAACTGATGTATTAAAGAGGACGTTGTCTTTCCAAGTTAAGTAAATGACGCTACATCTCCGAAGAAAATGAATACATGGTTAAACCGGACACCAGTTATGTTGGCAGCATCGGAAGGACATGTTGATGTGTATAATCTTCTTGTATCAGAGGGGGCCGATCTGTGACTTTCTGCATCACTTGTCCCCATTTGGCAACTCTGCATAACTGTAGAGAAGAAAAAGTATTGTCTATAGTAATTACTGTGTAATTAGCAAGCTGCCATCTTCAATACATATATGCTACAGAGGCCCGTTACATACAGTCTCACATTAAGAATCATTATGGATAGAACATATTGATAACTAGTTTGTTCTCCGACTGCCCACTGTTCTCTTGTGCACACACAGGAGCTCCACGAGATTGGCTCTTCTCTTAATAATCTACGGTAATGATTGAGTCATCCTAATTGTCTCACTGTCCAGCTTTGTTTAGCCTCGTTTGAGACAAGGAAAACCACAACCGAGATGTGGGGATAACTATCCAGACAAATACGGTCTCAAGATGATTGTCTTAGAAGATAATGATAATAAAAGCACTAAAACCCTTTCCATATTCAATAGCTAAAAGCTGAGTCGATTGCACCATTCCGACTATATCAAGAGCTTTTGTTAATGAATCACTCTCAAATAGTGATGATACCAGGTGTTCTCGAAAAGGCGAGTGTAATCTGCTCCAAGGGTGGAACCTGTCACAAACACATGACAACACAAGTCAACACGAGAACAGATGGTACAAGTCAAGTTCTTCCGGAAGTTGTCCCTTACTGATCCGCTCACTGATGATTACAAACATGATTGTCTGATGCTGGCTTGTATGGGAGGTAGCATGCCTATTGTGAAACATCTCTTGTCCTTGAAATCATTTGACATCAATGCGAGACAATGGTTCAACAAGATGCCAGTTATGTTGGCAGCACAGAGGACATGTTGATGTTTATAATCTTCTTGTATCAGAGGATGCCGATCTGTCACTAACTGATTTGATGAACAAACATTGTCTGATGTGGGCATGTGAGGGAGATAGAATGTCTATTGTGAAACTCCTCTTATCCTTTAAAACATTTGACATCAATAGGAGAGGATAGTTTAACCAGACACCAGTAATGTTGGCAGCAAAGAGAGGACAGATTGATGTTTTCAATCTTCTTATATCAGAGGGTGCTGATCTGTCCCTTAATGATGAAAACAACGATGATTGTTTGATGTTGGCATATGAAGGAGGTAGCATGCATATTGTGAAAAAGCTCTTATCCTTGAAAACATTTGACATCAATAAAAAAGGAACGTTTAACTTGACACCTGTTATGTTGGCAGCAGTGAAACAACATGTTGATGTATATAATTTTCTTCTATCAGAGGGGTCAGATCTGTCAATTACTGATTTCTTCATTGATTGGCATTTAGAAGTTGGAGTACTAAGTAAGGAAAAGAATTTATGGATAAACAACTTCTTTATTACAATTAAGAGCGACGTTTCGGTGTAGGTTCTAACATCGTTATCAAGCAAGTGATATACAGATAGATATTGTTATACTGGAGTAGAGAAGCCTGTTATGTATATACAAGGGTAGTGATGACAATCATCAGTGAAGTCAGTAACATAAATAAAGGATGAAACCAGTAATATAAACAATCGGATTTTGGCTGATTGGGGTCTTTGATATCGGGGGTATGTAATAGCCTTGGTCACGTTTGATTGGCGACTGGGATCTTTTGATGTTGATGGCTTCTTGTAGTTTCCTGATCTTGAAGTCTTTGAGGTTGGTGGTAAGGGCTGTGACTCTCTCCCACTGAATGCTTAGGCTTGGATTGTTACGTATGTGGTCTGATAGAGCTGATTAAGAGTCATATTTGGAGACTGAGCTTTGCTGTCCTTTTATTCGTGTTTTTGCGGGGCCTAGATGTTTCTCCTATGTAAGCTGTCCACATTTGCACAATTGAGAGAGTTGCGTTTGGATGCCGAGCAGTGCAGACGTGTTTTCCTGGCTCTCGCGATTGAGAAGTTACGTGGCGTAACTGGGCTAAATGGTGCAGCGAACTGGTCATATCTCTATAATATAGACAAATCGCCCTGATTATGACATCTCTAACATCCCAAGGATTTACTCAACAACTGACTACCCCACCAATAACACTGGGAAATACACAGGACATGGACCAGTCAAGCCAGTTGAACATATCGGGATCTCAGAGTCAGGTCAGTGTTGATCCGAATAGTACTAGCTGGGTCAAGACATTGTTTGATCAGATGCGTCACCTGGCTAGCATGGTACACTATGTACAGCAGAAAGTGCAGCGAGTAGACAGCATTGATGATAAACTCACAATGATTGATGGTAAACTGACCTTGCTTGAAAATAACCTGCAGCAGACCATCACAAGGGTAAACTTGTGTCTTGTGTCCAGAATTGTGTCTCAGCAAACCTAGAACTTAAATCTGAAAGCACTAAATAACGAAAGCGGCTGACAGAGCATATATCGTCGTAATGTACTAGAATCGGTAGTTGTTGTTGCATTAAGTGTTCAAGAGGTCGCCTTCTGCCTAAGCAATTTCGGCTGACCTGTCCCTCTTTGGGACTCCTGTGTGTGAGTAGGGTACACATATCTATTGTTTGGTATTCACATAATTTCTGTTTTTGTATTGATATGACTTCTATTTTCTTATATTGATATGACTTCTATTTTCTTATATTGATATGATTTCATTTTTATCCTTGGCTGCTCTGTTTATATACGTTAGAGTAGCTGTCCATCTCTCAGAAATAAAGTTAGTTTGGTCTTCGCTATTGCATCTCTTGGCTTTGGGAGATCTATGACAGATAGCAGATCTAACTGCAATTCTTGTTTTAACCTAGCCCGGGCTGGGGCATGGTCTTGACATTCTAGTAACACGTGATCAATGGTTTCAACCTATTTGCAAGATGAACAAACCTTGTCACAGTGCTTTTTGTGACCGAGTCTGAGGCGTGAAATAGTAATTTCAATTTTCCTTTCATTTGAGTATTTGTTTGGCTTTTGTCGGACCTTGGGTTGAATTTTGTATAGCCATCTGCCGATCTTACTTGCGTCCCATTCGGCTTGCCATCTTTCTGCCATGGAGGCTTCGATTTTACTTTTTATCTCTAGTTTACTAAAGGGAATAGGCTGTATATCCGCTTTGTCTAGAGCTAGCTTCGCCAGTGAGTCTGCTTTTTCATTTCCATGAATATCTATGTGAGAGGGGATCCAACACAGTTCCCCCTGGGATTTTTACAGCTAGGGCTTTATCTCGAGTGTTTTTGTCTTGACATATCTTTTTAACCAAAGGGTTTGATGTTCGTCCCCAGAACGATAATATTGCCTGCTCTCTTCTTAGTTTCAATGGGAGTTCTCCCGTTACTACTTGTAGTGCTTCTAGTGAGGTGCCTGTTGCTGCGCCTGTGGCCAGCATTAGGGCTTTGTATTGTATTCTGTCTAGGCACCTCAAGACAGTATTTGATGCTGAATGAAAGGCCTCACAACCATAGTCAATTTTTGATCTGATAAGAGATTTGTAGAGGTCCAGCTGAGTTTCCCTCAATGTGCCCCAAGATGTGCCTGAAATTGCCCGTAATACGTTTAGGTCTTTTTGGCATCTATTTTCCACATATTCTATATGTTTACGCCAAGTGAGGTGTTGATCAAGGATCACCCTAAGAAATATTGCAGATTTTTCGAATTTGATAGGTTTGCCTTTCATGGAGACACGGGGTATCATAGCATCTTTCCCCCGGCGTTTGAACATAACTCCAACAGGTTTTTTTTCACTTGAAAGGGAACGATCGGTAGGGATGTGGATGATATATATTACGATGTAGACTCCCCATACCAACAACAGAGGGATATGAAAGAGGCTGTAGTGGATCTCAAAGTGAGCTTAATGAGAGACAACCTCCTGTTTCATGGTATACCAGAAATGATTGGTGAAGAGCCGAAAGATATCATAAAGGACTTCGTTAAGCGGAAGATGAAGTGTAACACAGAGATTAACCTTGTGAGAGTTCATAGAATGGGACCACGAGATGGAACGTTCTAACCAGTGCGAAGAACCTCAAGGACACAAAGTTTGGTGTTAGTGAACAGTTCCCACCTGAAATTGTTGAACGGTGACGAGAGCTTCTCCCTTTGCAGAAAGAGGCTAAAAGCGGGGGACTTAAGGCAAGTCTAACTGTTGATAGACTGTTTATTAACAATAGAAGGTGTTTCCCTGGTGAGAATCAGTTCGAAGATTCGAGACAGTCTATGTGGTCACTATGACCTTTGTATGCCAATGTTGTTGAACATTCCCGAGATAAACAACCATGCAAGACGCGACGAATCGAAGAGGATCGTGACATAACACATCTCTAGGCATACAATGAACGTAGACCGAACACTGTAAATGCAAATGACAATGTAAATATTTCGCTAAATGTTGTGTGTGAAGACCATTGTGATGTGTATGTTACAAATAACAATAATGTGTCACCCATCAACAAAAAAGCATGTGAATCTAATTATGACGATATTCGGGTACATGCACAACAGAGCAGCCTGTGTATGAGCCCTCGCCAACAGACGCTTTCATATCACATAACAGTGAGGGTTCTCATTTTAAACTGATTTACTTAAATGTGTGTGGTTTGAAATCGAGATTACTTATTCCTGAATTTACGAATTTGATTTCAAACTATGAAATGTTATGCTTTGTTGAAACAAAACTAGATGAATTTGATTGTATTGACATTCCTGGATATGCAATGTTTTATAAACCTAGAATTACAAGTGCAGAAAATCAGGCGGTATAGCCGTTGCTATGAAACATGAATATGTACAGCATTTCCAAAGAATAGCCGAATCCTCGGAATATGCTATATGGTTTCTCGCTTCCCATGAAATATTAAATGTACCCTGTAATGAAGATATATATATATATATTGGTATCTCATATATCCCACCAGAGGGTTCACCATATTACTCTGACGAAACATTTCCCAAACTACATAATGAAATCTCGTGTAAATTATCAGTAGATTGCGACAATAGTATTTTTATATTTGGTGACTTCAATACAAAAACATGTACTTTGTCAGATTTTATTACAACTAACCCAAGCTCTATCAACGAAGATATATTCCCCGACGATTTTGTTGACTATATGAATGATGTTGAAAGATTAAAATATGCTAATGTTTTGTTAGAAAGGTCAAGTCAGGATGTTAGGATGCCAACCTCACATGGTTATAAGCTAGTTGATTTATGTAAAAACAACAATATATACATTGTTAATGGCCGAGTTGGACATGACAAAAACGTTGGCAAAGTTACATGTAAAGGAGTAAGCTTGGTTGATTATGCTGTAGCGAGCGCTAATGTTTTCCCAACAATAGAAGATTTCGAGGTCCTGGATTTGGAACCATTCTTCTCAGATATCCACTCACCTATCACTGTAACACTAACAAAAAACTTTGATAAGCCTGTTACAGCCCAAACGTTGAGACCAGAGAACGACACAAGCCCCCGCCTTAGAAAATGGAATAGGACGCTTGCTCCTGAATATGTCGACTCTATTGACAAGGAGGTTATACAATCCATTGATTCTGAGCTACTTTGTGCTGGTTATTGTAAGCTAACTGATGTTATAACAAACGTGAATGACAAAATAAGTGATGTGCTTCTTCGTACTGCTGGCAAAGTGTTCGGATTTGTTAAAAAGAGTAAGAGAAAATCAACACCCCACAAGCGCTCTAAAATTTGGTTTGGTAAACAAGGTAAAATCGCCCGTGGAAAATACTTTGAGGCCAAGAGATATTTCAAACGTAGTCAAACATTCCAAAATAAACAACGACTAGTTAATGCAAGTAAAATTTATAAAAAATGCATTCATAAATTGTCAAATATGCATTTAAAAAAACTTCAAGACAAAGTTTATAATGTTGATAGAAATGACCCCCGTTCATTTTGGAAACTTCTTAAGCGAAGGCAGTCTGGCGATGAAAACCTACCAGATAGTGAAGCATTATTCAGCTTTTTAAATCTTTAAATGAAGTTTCGGCAGATGACGACTTGATATTGATAATCTACATAAAGTAAACATGGACGAAAGCACAATACTTAATGCAGCTATAAAAAGAGGTGAAATTATAAACTGTGTGCAGAATTTAAAATATAACAAAGCAGCTGGTCTTGATAATATAATTAACGAATACATTTCAAGCACAATTGATGTCTTCATAGATATTTAAATCAAACTTTTTAACATGGTTCTTGATACTGGTACATTCCCAGAAAAATGGTTAATAGATGTTACCAAACCCATTTTTAAGGGTAAAGGTGACCCACAAAACCCCGAAAATTACACACCTATCACCCTGCTAAGCTGTTTTGGTAAGCTTTTCACAGCAGTTTTAAATAACCGTTTACAAACATTCATCAAAACGAACTCCGTATTGTCGGAAGCTCAGGCAAGTTTCAGAAGGGTTATTCTACCAGTGATCACATCTTTGCTCTATATAACCTCATGGAATTATTAAAAGGTAGAAAAAAGAAATTATTTTGTGCATTTGTAGATTTTCAGAAAGCATTTGACACAGTTTGGCGATTAGGACTTTGGCAAAAACTATTACAAAATAACATATCTGGAAACAGTTTTAACGTTATTTATAATATGTACCAGAATATCAAGTCATGTGTAATGGTTATTTAACAGGTTTCTTTTCATGTAAATCTGGAGTAAGACAAGGAGAAAACCTGTCGCCTGTCTTGTTTGCAAAATAGTCTTCAAAAGGCACAAGGTATAGTATCATAAACAATGAGTGCCTAAATTTTGAATATCATTTAAACGTACTGCAGGCGAGTCTTACTTAAGTTTAGAACTTGTAATCATAATCTACCTATTGAAACCGGGAGATGGATAAAAATACCTTTAACCGAAAGGAAATGCCAACTTTGCAAATTATCTGACATAGGTGATGAATTTCATTATTTGTTTATTTGTCCATCTTTAGAAAACGAAAGAAAACATTTTTTAAAAGATTCTACTTCATTAAACCCAATATGCATAAAATGAATTTACTTTTCAATAATTCACGACTAGGAACATTGAGAAAACTGTCCTAATTCTGTAAAATCATCATGTCATTGTTGCTACCATAGTAAATCTGTATAAATATGCATTCATACTCGGCAAATATGTTTTTGTATATCTTCTATATTTATATGTATATGTATTATGTTGTTGAAATAATTTTGTACCTCAGATGCCGCTGACAGCGGCCTGAGCGTAAATAAAGTTCAGTTCACGGGATGTGGTACACTGCTCCTGATGGTTCTAGCTTGTGGCTGGATGGTGGTTTCCCTGTGGCTTTAATTGTGTTCTGAATGGGATGACTTCTCTTGAAAACTACATCAATGTTGGTCTGTTTCTTTAAGAGTGTCTGGATTTTGTGGCTAACTATTCCAAAGTAGGGGAGGCTGATCACAAAGGGTGCAGACTGTTGACGTGGGGATTTCTGAGATTTCTTGGTGATGTAAACTTGACCAAACAACACTGTTTGACATTTTGATAGAGAGAGCTCGTTTGTACATGATTAATGGGATTGAGCTGTAGGAATATTGCTCGACAAAAAAGGTAAAGTTATTGGAAAGTTGAAGTCTGCCCTCTTTTCATACAGCCTTGCGGAGAGTGTTTTGTCACTCTGAACCTTTATAGATCTGAATAAAAGGGACAGAACAGAGGAAGCGGTCTCACTGGTCGCCTTTATTTCTAGTTCAGGTGCTAAATCAGGAAGAGGCTGAACACGGACGATTGCGGCCCACATTTCCTGCGGCGCCTGCTGGTTAAAATTTGCGTACAAATGCGCATCAAGATCATAGCTTCTTTTTCTGACAATGATTAAGCACATGCAGTTCTACTTTATTGAGATAATGTCATGTTCAATCATAAAGTGTATCCTCCTGATTTTACATCCATGACAATGAATAAATGTATAGTTTGATTTTCTTTAAATATCCACAAATTTGGCTGTATGTACAAGCGAGGGCACGTTCGTCTGGCTGCACTGGTGTATCGTCATACTCCGACATCGTGAATAAACATTCTTAATTTACAGGCAGCTGTTATTATTGTGTTTTATATAACCTTCAGATTTATAACGGCTTGAAGCACTTTAATGATACAATGTATTTATTACACGTGTTTAATAAAGGTACATGGTTGAAACTTACCTGTTCTTTAATTCTGTTGGTGGATTTGACGCTGGCTTGGCAACAGTCCATGACCCACTGTGCCATTGCTGCCTGCTGTCCAGCACGACGTCAATACAACTGTTGCCACGTGGCCTTGACCCGGAAAAAGATTGTCGGTGAACTCACGTAATTGTTGACAAGAATGATTTCATAATTTGAATGGTTATTTTATTAACACACGTTAAACACATTTGCTCACGCCTTCCTCCAATCCTTCCTTCCTTCATTCGTTTATTTACTCAAATCATAGATCACGTTTTCTTTAACCTTCACTAGTTTTGAGTAGAGCTGCATTGTAAAAGTGGTAATATCAGCCTCGTGAAAATTTCAGTATTTTGTCCTGAGTGTCCTTTGGTGCGTGCGTGCGTGCGTGTGTCCGTGCGTGCGTACCCCACTCAGACAAAGTACACTGACAGGTAGACGCTCGATCCACTAGGCCATGGAGACGGTCACCAAATCTGTCTGAATCTGAAACACAAACGTCAACATGTGGTACTCGACCAGTTGTGTAATGATGACTACCAGGCCGGATGATGTCTACCAATCGTAGGCCGGATAACAGTAGGTTTTTCAACGAGTAAATGAAAGGCATCGGCCCGAAGTCTACCACTGATGGAAATCATGGGTGAAGAGGCAAGACGTATCGCGTAACACTTTCTGGTTACAGTCATATCTGGAGAGAAAGAGACGTCTCTATCCACAGCCATGTAGACTGAATATTGTCACATTACGACACTTGATACTGGTCACATGTAGACTTGATACTGGTCACATGTAGACTTGATACTGGTCACATGTAGACTTGATACT